CAGATCAGTGAGACAGGTGTCGTCCACAGATCAGTGAGACAGGTGTCGTCCTCAGATCAGGGAGACAGGTGTCGTCCACAGATCAGTGAGACAGGTGTCATCCACAGATCAGGGAGACAGGTGTCGTCCACAGATCAGTGAGACAGGTGTCGTCCACAGATCAGTGAGACAGGTGTCGTCCTCAGATCAGGGAGACAGGTGTCGTACTCAGTCCTCAGATCAGTGAGACAGGTGTCGTCCTCAGATCAGTGAGACAGGTGTCATCCTCAGATCAGTGAGACAGGTGTCTTCCACAGATCAGTGAGACAGGTGTCGTCCACAGATAAGTGAGACAGGTGTCGTCCACAGATAAGTGTGACAGGTGTCGTGTGACAGGTGTCGTCCTCAGTCCTCAGATCAGTGAGACAGGTGTCATCCACAGATCAGTGAGACAGGTGTCGTCCACAGATCAGTGAGACAGGTGTCGTCCACAGGTCAGTGAGACAGGTGTCGTCCACAGGTCAGTGAGACAGGTGTCGTCCACAGATAAGTGAGACAGGTGTCGTCCACAGATAAGTGAGACAGGTGTCGTCCTCAGATCAGTGAGACAGGTGTCGTCCACAGATCAGTGAGACAGGTGTTGTCCACAGATAAGTGAGACAGGTGTCGTCCTCAGATCAGTGAGACAGGTGTCTTCCACAGATCAGTGAGACAGGTGTCGTCCACAGATCAGTGAGACAGGTGTCGTCCACAGATCAATGAGAGAGGTGTCCTTCGGGATGAATATCAAGTTGTTCAGAGTTTCTGCAGCAGATTTTGATCCAGACTGAAACCTGAACCTGGAACCGTTCCTTAAGCCCCTCATGTCCAGACACAAAGAAAGCCAAATAAATAAACTAGTCTGTTAGTCTGCACATGATGCAGGTCAAAGGTCAGCAGGCTGATGATGTCATCAAGATGACCTCTGACCAAGTTCAGCAATGTCATCTGTTCAACTTCTTGTCGTACCTGCAGGGGACAGACAGAGACAGGAGACAGAACAGACAGTAAGTCAGGTGGACCAATTCAGAGTAGAATAAGCAGTACCATGGAAGGTTCCACTAACAGTAGAATCTATAGAACCAGTAGAACCAGTAAGGTTTTTGTTGACAGTCGAACCAGTAGAAACAGTGAAGGTTTTGCTGACAGTAGAACCAGTAAAACCAGTAAAGTTTCTCTTGACAGTCGAACCAGTAGAACCAGTAAATTTTTTGTTGATATTTGAACCAATAGAACCAGTGAAGGTTTTGCTGACAGTAGAACCAGTAAAGTTTTTGTTGACAGTAGAACCAGTGAAGGTTTTGATGACAGTAGAACCAGTAGAACCAGAGAAGGGTTTGTTAACAGTAGAACTAGTAGAACCAGTAGAACCAGTGAAGGTTTTGCTGACAGTGACATTAGAACCAGTAGAACCAGTGAAGGTTTTGTTGACATTGACAGTAGAACCAGCAGAACCAGAGAAGGTTTTGTTGACATTGACAGTAGAACCAGTAGAACCAGAGAAGGTTTTGTTGACATTGACAGTAGAACCAGTAGAACCAGTGAAGGTTTTGTTGACATTGACAGTAGAACCAGTAGAACCAGAGAAGGTTTTGTTAACAGTAGAACCAGTAAAGGGTTTGTTGACAGTAGAACCAGAAGAACCAGTGAAGGGTTTGTTGACAGTAGAACCAGAAGAACCAGTGAAGGGTTTGTTGACAGTAGAACCAGAAGAACCAGTGAAGGTTTTGTTGACATTGATAGTAGAACCAGTAGAACCAGTGAAGGTTTTATTAACAGTAGAACCAGTGAAGGGTTTGCTGACAGTCACAGTCGAACCAGTAGAACCAGTGAAGGTTATGCTGACAGTGACATTAGAACCAGTGAAGGTTTTGTTGACATTGACAGTAGAACCAGTAGAACCAGTGAATGTTTTATTAACAGTAGAACCAGTGAAGGGTTTGTTGACAGTAGAACCAGTAGAACCAGTGAAGGTTTTGTTGACATTCACAGTAGAACCAGTAGAACCAGTGAAGGGTTTGTTGACAGTAGAACCAGTAGAACCAGTGAAGGTTATGTTGACATTCACAGTAGAACCAGTAGAACCAGTGAAGGGTTTGTTGACAGTAGAACCAGTAGAACCAGTGAAGGTTATGTTGACA